TAAACATATATATATATATAAACATATATAAACAAACATATATATATGTATATATATATATATATATATGTATATAGGTTAGGGTACTCGCATCAAAAGCACCAGGCAACGCAACAGAAGGGCTTCGAGCGTCATTGCTAATAAATTAATATTATTATTAATTAATAATAACAACTCCTAATACTAATAACTTAGTATTATTATTAATTAATAATAACAATGCCCAATACTAATAAATTAATATTATTATTAATTAATAATAATAACGCTCAGCTTAGAAAGCCCGCAGCAGTTAGCTGCGAAGGAGTAGCAGAAGAAGGTGCAGAGAGTTGAAGCTCTCTCTCTTCTCTCTTTCTTTTTTTACTTTCTTTTACTTTCTTTTCTCTTCTTTTTCTTTTCTTTTCTTTTCTTTTTCTTTTCTTTTCTTTTCCTTTCCTTCTTTTCTTTTTCTTTTCTTCTTTTTCTTTTCTTCTTTTCTTTTTCTTTTCTTTTTCTTTTTCTTTTTCTTTTCTTCTTTTCTTTCTCTTTTCTTTTCTTTTCTTCTTCTTCTGAGTGATTAGGCACACGAGGAAATTTGCTGCTTATGGAAGGAGGATGCAGACGCAGATTTCTGCGGAGTCTGCGGGGCGTGGAGGGCTATGCAAGTGTTTTTATATAAAAAAATAAAATAATATTATTATACTTTCAGTAAAAATAAATAATAAAGTAAATATCTACACATGTATATATGATTAGCTCATTAAAAATTATTATGTCTGTGCATGCAGCAAAGGGCTTTTTTTATCTCTTCTCCAGCTAAATAGTTTTAGGTAGATGATTTGAATTATAATTACTTCATTGATGTTTGCTGCTTTGCAGCATGAACAGCAGCAAAGTGCTTGTCCTTTCTCTGATCCTCCCTGGCATATCGTAAGACTGCTGCTGCTACCAGTAGGCCTGGGGTATATATATATATATATATGCAAACAGATGAAGGAGACACGCTAAGCAAGCAAAATAAGAAGACAGCACAAGATGCAATGAATATCCATCTTCACAAATCAGTTGAAGTCCTTCCGCTTGCTGCTGTGATGCTGCTGCTCCAGCAGATAGTCTTGCTGCTGCTGCTGCTGCTGCTGCAGTCGCTGTTCGAACAGTGTTCTTGCTGCTTCTGCACTGGCTGCAGTAGTTGCTGCTCATGCAGGTGCTGTTGCTACAGTGCCTACATGAGCCGCTGGTCATGCTGATGCTGCTGCGGCTACTGCTGCAGCTGCGCTAATTGGTGTTCACGGTGCTGCTGCTGCAGCGGCTGCACTAGTTGCTGTTCATGCTGCTGCTGCTGCAGTTGTCGCTCAAGTTGCTGCTCTTCCCCTATGTGACTTGTGCTGCTTCTGATGGGTGTGCGTGAGAGTGCTGTTTCTGCAGCAGCAGCAGCAGCTGCTGCTGCTGCAGCCGCAGCTGCTGCTGCTGCTGCTGCAGAACGTGAGGCTAAATGCTGCAGCAAGTATAAGGAGCTGCCCACAGCTACATCATTTGCAAGCCTGTGGAGGGTTGAGGAGCAGAGAAAAACAAAAAAGACAGAGACAATTAAAAGGGGAGACAGTGAGTTGCTGCAGCAGGGAGCAGCAAGAAAACAAAAGCAAAATGAATGCAGAGGCAGCAAACAGGTGAAGGGTTCCACTGTACTTAGTGCAGCAAATGACTGGCAGCTGAAGGCGCAGCAGCAGCAGCAAAAAAGAATCAGATAGATAAGAAACGCACCTGCTTGGGTGCTTGCTGCAGCGCTATCCAGCTATCCTCAGACTCACTAAACAGTACTGTACCTCAACAAGAATCATTGCAGATGCAGAGCGCTTACTGCTGCTGCTGCTGCTGCTGCTGCAACCGTTGCTGCAGACACGCCACCGTTGCTGCAGACACGCCTCCAGCCACGCTCCCTACAACCCCACAGCTCCCAAAGGCAGTGCACCGCTTTTTATGCTGCTAACAGCACGCATAAACTCAATAAAAACCAGGGAAGAACAATTTCATTGCAGCAGCAGCAGCAGCAGCAGCAGCAGTAGTAGCAGGAAACGCAGCTACTGCAGCGGGAGCGATACTGCACCAGCACGGCCGAAGACACAGCGTTAGCAGCAGCTAGGAGGGTGTTGGCGTTTATTTGTTTAATAAATATTATTTTTAAATTGTTAATTTAAATAAACAAAGAAAACGTCAGAAAGAGATTTGTCTCTTCTTCGTTTCATATGATAAATTAGCTGCTGCAGCTGTTGCTGCCAGCAGCAGCCGAAGCTGGTTTGCTGCACTTCTTTGTAGATCTCGAGGGCATTGAAGTTCTTTTTGTATTTATATGCAATAAATAAATTATATTTAATTTATTTAATTTAAAAAAACAAACAAAATATTCCTATGGTGAAGATTTTCTGCATTGTTTGAGGTGTCGATAGACCAGTGGTCCACAGTGGTGCATCTCCTTCTATTTTTTACATATTTTCTTTATTCTTCTTTTCTTTTTCTTAATTTTATTTCTTTTTTTGTTTATATTTCCCCCTTGTGCATCGTTTGGCTCGAGATCTGAAGAGGCATCATGCACCTACCCGCAGCAACAGCAGCAGCTGCAGCTGCAGCTGCAGCAACAGCTGCAGCAGCAGCAGGTCTCGCGATGCCGTTGCAGCAGCTAGAAGCAGCAGAAAATGAGTGGGAGCCTTCTCCTATTGATTATATGTTATCTGCTGCTGCAGATGAAGTACAGCTTCTACGCAGCAGAGGGTTTGCTGGGGGTCTCAGCATAGGTGAGGTAGCGCTTTCTGCTGCTGTTGCTACTGTTGCAGCAGCCTACCTAATGCTGCGGTGCTCTGTGCATCTACCAAACAGCAGCAGCGACAGCAGCAGCAACAGCAGCAGCAGAGCAGCAGCAGCACTAAGACATCTCTCAGCAGCAGAACCAAACAGAGGCAAAGACATACCAGTGGTTTGCAGGGCTCTAGGAGCTCGTACTCCCGCCTCCTTCGGCGCTGCTGCTGCTGCTGCTGCTGCTGCTGCTGCAGGGGGGGAAGAGACAGAAGAAGAAGGAGATCTTGTGCTGAGCGATTTGTTGAAAGGCATACGTTCTTATGTTACTGAGTTAAGCGAATTAATAAACAAAGCAGAGCCGCTGCTGCGGAGCTTAAACCCTGTGCTGCGAGCTCGGTGTACAGCAGCACTTATGTCTCTTACTGTAGTTGAGGTCTCTGCTTTATTTTCTTTAATGCAGCATAAAGAAAGAGCAGGTATTAAAGAGTGTTTATATAAAGTGTGGAAGAGGATATGGTCTATTAGAGACAGCTTCAGCAGCACTGATCTTACTGTAGCCCGCCAGCGTCATCTCAAGATGCTGCATCTGCTGCTAAATAGATTGAGAGAAGGGCCTGCTTCTGCTGCTGCTGTTGCTGCTGGTGGTGCTGTTGCTGCTGCTGCTGCACCAGCAGCACCACCAGTAGCATCTCTTTCGGAGGGAGAGAGATTGAAACGAATGAAGTTGCTGCAGCAGCTGCAGCAAATAGCCCTGCAGCAACTCAAGCGCGGCCTCTTCTGGCTGAGACAATCCATAGAAGAAAGCCAAGAAGCTGCTGCTGCTGCATCTGCTGCAGCAGCAGCAGCTGCTGCTGCAGCTGGTCCTTCTTCAGCTGCGGATGTTCCTTGCTTTGAAGGAGGCGGCGGCGGCACAGCAGCAGAAGCAGCAGCAGCAGCAGCCGAAGCAGCAGCAGAAGCAGCAGCAAACCGCGTTGCTGCAGTGATTATAGCTATCGAAATGACTGCACACAGAAGAAGGTCTCAGGTGTTTGGAGACCCCTTACTAAGCCACTGGCTGAGGGAGACAGAGACACCAGAGAGACACCACGGCATATTAATGAAAACAATTGTAGAAAGAATATCTCAGAAGCCTCTGCATGCGCATGCTGATCTCCTCGCTGGACTCAGATCCTTGCCCCTGGGATCGGGAGACGATCCCACCCCACACGTTCCCCAGGCTAAGATTGCAAGCGCACACCCCACAACAACCAGCAGCACCAGCAGCAGCAGCACCAGCGGCAGCAGCAGCAGCAGCAGAAGCAGCAGCAGCAGCAGAAGCAGCAGCAGCAGCAGAAGCAGCAGCAGCAGCAGCAGCAGCAGCAGAAACAGCAGCAGACAATCTGCAAGGGCCCCAAGGCAGACAAAAGGAGACAAATCAGCGCCTCCGAAAGGCAGTGCCACTGTCTCTCTTGCTGCAGGCCAGCAGAGCGGCCCCTCCAGCAGCTCTTCTGCTGCTGCTGCTGCTGCTGAAGAGGAGAAGCAAGAGATAGTATTCGATGATGTGTCCTTCCCGCATCTCCGCAGCTCAGCAGAGTCTGCTGCTGCTCATCAACCTGCTGCAGCAGAAGCAGCAGCAGCAACAGCAGCAGCAGGTGGTCAGCAAGACTCGTGGGTCTCCAAAGTTTTAGGTTGGTGGAAGCCCTCTTCTTCTGCTTCTTCTTCTTCTGCTTCTTCTTCTTCTGTTTCTTCTTCTGCTCCTGCTGCTTCTGCTGCTGCTGCTTCTGCTGCTGCTTCTTCTGCTGCTGCTGCTACTTCTGCTGCTTCTTCCTCCCGTCTTTCTTCTCCTTCTTCTGCGTCTTTTAAAGACACATCGAAGCCCCCAGCAAATTCTGTTGCATCAGCACTTGCTGCTGCTGCTGCTTTTTCGCCTGAGGCCCAGGCTCTGTCGTCCACGCCACGCCCTGCTGCTGCTGCTGCTCCTGCTGCTGCTCCTGCTGCTGTCTCTCCCTGGAAACAGGCGTTATCTCGTGAGCCAGCAAAAGCAGCAGGTGCTGCTACTGCTGCTGCTGAAGCCATCAGCAGCAATCCTGTTACCTTAAAGGTTGGGGGGCTGCGCAGGAGGGCCCCGAGGCAAACTGCTGCTGCTGCTGCTGCTGCTGCTGCTGCTGCTGCTGCTGATCCTGCTGCTGCAGGGGCCTCGTCTGGGGAAGCAGGCGAGGATGTAAGGCCTGCAGCATCTGCCAGCAGCCGCAGCACAAGCAGCAGCAGCAGCAGCAGGAGTAGCTGATGCAGCAGCAAGTGCTGCAGCAGCTAAATCTTCTCTCCTTTATATGAGGGCGTCTTCGTGTGTGGGGTCTCCTTTTAGAAGTTTTTGTTTTATGTTTATTTCTCTTTATATGTGTGTATAGTTCGGGTGTATAGGGAGATATGCCTGGTAGGGGTCTGTCTCCATCTGTTTGTTTGTTTGATAGAGCAAACAAACAATAATAATATTATCTTAGCTTTATCTGTTTCTTTTGTTTTTTATTTGTTTTATAAAACAAGCAAAAAGGCAGTTATACGCTGATGCGTCATTAAGAAAAGGGTTTAGGGTTTAGGGTTTTGGTTAAACCCTAAAGGGTTTAGGGTTTGTTTTGTTCGTCTTTGTAAGAGACATTTGGGTTGTTTGTTATTATTAACTCAGAGATGCATTTCTTCTGAAGTGTCTGCTGTGTCCTTGGAGCTATTGAAGCAACTGCAGCAACAGCAGCAGCAGCAGCAGCGGCAACAGCAGCAGCAGCAGCGGCAACAGCAGCAGCGGCAACCGCAGCAGCAGCATCTGCCAGCAGCAGAATCTGCCAGCAGCAGCAGCAACAGCAGCAGCAGCAGCAGCAGCAGCAGCAGCAGCAGCAGCAGCAGTTGTGGCTTGTGCTGCTTGCTGCTGTTTGTTGTTTGCTGAATATTTTTGTTTGTTTGGTTTGCTTCGCCAGCTGTCTCCACGCTGAGGAGACAGCTCATTCGCTTCTTCTTTATTGAAGAAATATATA